TTGGTGTTGGGGGGGGGGGGGGGGGGGGAGGTACATAGCTGGTTGACCGAATGATGAAGTCTTTGCACATCCAAAATAAAAGTCTTGAACATGTATCCAAAATAATTATCAAAACACCAATAAAAAAAACTATGAACTACATGGATTAATATATAAAGCAAAACAGAAAAAGCTAATATAAAATAAATTGTATATCTTTAGATGGAGTTCCTACAGGAATTATCATATTATATGACTTTTACGCTGAAATCACTGGCTTTTATAGGATTTGTCTCCCCTGCATTATCTAAATATTCTGTCGTACATTAATTTATGATTTAATTTAGTTTACACATTGTCATATTTGTTCATGATTGATTAAAGTCCAGACTTTATACCATAGTGCAGCATTTTCATTTTTGTACAGTTACACAACTTTGGATCAACAAATGATCTTTGAAACTAGTCTTAATCTTATATATGTTTGTCCTATTTTTCAGGTACTGCCCTATAAAACCTCATGGCTGGCATATTTCCTTGTGGATGCAATTCGGATTTACATCAGAGGTGTCTGTAGCGTGAAGAAAGTTTTAACTGTACAGTTTGTATCCTGAAAGACTTGAGACACAAGAGACTGACGGATAAACAAATATTGCCTGTATTTAAATGTTGAACAGGTATTGTTTGTTTGTATGATAGTAATATAAATGTTTTTTGGTGAAGATGGCATTATTGAATCACCTGTATGACTGGAACCCTGAATCAGCAGCAATTGCCTTGTGCATGGCCCTTCCCTGGGTCAGAAAGAAGATTGCAAAGTACTCCATTCAAATCCACCTTGACCTCGTCATCAGATTCCGACTGTGAGATTTTAGAACAGTTTGGTTGTTACCTGTCTTATCATCATTTCGTCCCCCCTATTGTTCATCATCTTTCATATGGCAATATATACCTTAAGGAATTTAAATAAATATTCTTGAATCTGATTCCCTGATATGTTCTTTTAAGGAACAGTTATCAGAGATGTTTGAAAAGGACTGATTTTAAAAGACGTATGAATTACCGCTAAGGATTGTTTTTTCATAATTGACTCACACTTGCCTGAAAGGACCATTCAAGTACCATGTCGGTGACAGTGGAGCTGACGCTAGTGTCCGGCCTGATTGTGATTGTACTAGGTGGCCTGTTCTGTGTGTTCATCTTCAGACTAATGGTGTACTTACTCCAGTTTCTGTTTGGTTTGTTTGTGGGATCAGGCCAAAATCATGAGGAGAGGCAGGACAATAGTACAAATGGCCATAAGTGTGAGGAGATACAGGAGAACGGTAAAAACGACAGTGCAATGGAGAAGAAAAAGTCATGATAGTTCAAAGCCAGAATCCATCAGGAAAAAGAATTGGAGTGTGTATATATATAAACAGTGCTAAAATATGGTATAAAATGAAACTCAACGACTAGATTAATGTTGTAGATTTTCTATTTTATTTTTTGTATAAGTATCTATAGATAAAGAAGTGTGAATATCAGTTTAATGGAGATCTCTAGGAACTCCGTAAAAACAATCAGATTAAAGTACAGGGCCCATTTGTTCAATAGGTGGTTAGTTTAAATCTTTAATAATTTCGTCAATATACAAGGAAAAGTCTCACATCTTGCATGTAAATTCACTCTATTGAATTTTTAATATCTGGAAAGTTACAAATACACAGAAATTTAAATTTGCGCTAATCACTGATTAAGCTAATCATCTTTTGAACAACTTGGCCCTGATCATAGTTTTATCGAGACATATTTAAATTTTTAATTAGGATCTGTATTTTATTTTTAATCCAACTGTCCGCTAAAATATCTGTTCAAATCGGAGACGGATGGTTCACTAAAAAAGGTCTATGAATTAACTTTTGAACAATATCTTAATACAGTTAGTGCTTTGTGTTGCTATAGAGTCCCAACCTTGTTATCATTAGTCTTATATGTCTGAAATAATGCGTTTGATGTTAGAGAGTTCAAATTGGCCCGTAAAACATGGCTATATATGTATCTCTGTAGCCTTGTTTGTTAACTAATTCACCCCTGAAATTTCATAATGAACTATTCCAACCTTTGAATTGGAAGAGTTCAAATGTGTCTTCAGGGGTGAATGAGTTAATGTGATGTGTGTCAATGTATAATGCAGCGGTCATCTGGGCAGGTTCTCCATTTTGTAAAAGTTATAATATAGAGTATCATGTTCATCACTTTGGATGCAGCGTAATTTGTTGACTAAGATGATCATGAATTAGTGGACAAAAAAATAAAATGGTTGTTTGTACATTCCTTATGGACACAAAATGGTGCAAAGTGGTACAATATAATATAATTATGAGCTGACTTTAGTTAGGCATAATAACAAAAGCATTTGAGTGAATTGAGATGTTTTTCATTGTAGGATTAATGTGTAGGTACATGTAACAGGGTTTATTAAATACGTGGCAGTCAACAGATAAGCATTTTATAACCGATACATCTTATTGCTTAATTCTGCTTTATTTATAATTTTATTTTTTCAGTTACAATATCCATTTTCATCTTAAGATAATTAAATGTACACTTAATTTCAGAAAATCAAAATTCTACATGTGTTCCAAAATAATCTTATTTGTAATAGCAAAATACATGCATTCATTACTATTTCATTTTTTCTTAAATATCGTGCAATCAGTCTGCATTATTCTTGTTGCCATGAATTATGATAAAAATTGTTTATTTTTACTTTCTGTAATTCAAAATTATCATATATTGTTATTTTGACAGAGCATTATTGATACAGTGTACTGCATGAATAGAAAAAGCAAAAAAGTTTTGTTGTATGATCATTTTTAGTGTTTTCCGTCTTAAATTTATATTGGCTAGCCTAGCAAAGAATACTTATTAGCTTATTCTATAATACAGCCTCCTGCATTCGTCCATCCTTATTCAAGCTATATTTACAGAATTGCTCAAGTGCTTTTAACTATAGATTTGGTATAGAGCATCCCTTGGCCAGGGAGACTCGCTGTTGTTAAAAGAGGTATAAGGGTCAAAGTAAGGTTGTTCGGGTTGTTTTTTTAAATGTTTTTTTTTTTCATTGGCATTTTTATTTTATTCTTAATTATATTAAAAAGATATGAAACACTATTTGAAAAAAATAGACTTAGGAGTAAGAACATGTATGTGAAAAGGGACTTAAACCTAATTTTATATGATGCTTTAAGCAAATGTTGTATACAAGAAAGGTGAAATCTAGTGCCTCAATATATAGAGAGAGAGTTATGTCCCTTCGTTGTTTGCTTGCAACACACTACCTTGTTATTAAAGCATTATTTATTTTATTTTTTGCTAATTCGGAAAAAAAATGAGTTAGAATTAATTGAACTAATATTTGTTGTCTACATTTATTTTGTCCTTAATGTAGTGTTTGCTCTGTCTATAAGTTGTAGACACTGTGGATGTGAACGGACAGGATCAGACATAACAAGA